ACAAATTTAAATATGAAAAGAACTCATCATAAAAGGAGTTGTTTTAGCACTCTAAAAAATTAAAAGTTAAATTTATTTAACCAAGTGATCTCAACTGTTTCCACTAAACTGAGTTGAGTGAAGTTAAATTAATTTTCTCAACTCAGTTTAGTGGAACCAAATTGGTTAAGTAAATTCAACACGAGTGTAAAAGTACTTTTACTGACTATTGTGAGCAATTTTTTGACTTTTATTTAAGTACTTTTCTTACCGGTGAAATTAATTGTTACAAAAGTCATTCTCTGTTAAGGTATGTTTACGGTACTTTATATACCTCTGGTCATCAGACTTTTTGTCTACAAAAGTAAATCTACAAAGAACAGTTTTGTCCAATGCTTTAAGTTACAGTATGTGTTTCAACAAATGCATTTAGAATGGAATAGAAACAGCCTTTATTGTCCCCTGCGGGGAAATTCAGAAATTTATGTTTTACAGGTAAAATTTATTATTATTATTATTATTATTATTTAGATCTGCTTTGGCCTATAATGTTTTATTTGGTTTTATTATTATGTTCAATAGACTCTCCAGTAGAACATGCTTAATTTTTAAACTTTGCTTTAGTCTTTTTTTTTCTTATCGCAATTTAATCACAAAGTGCCTAATGTCCCAATTATATTTCAAATGCAAAACCCTCCCTAAGTCATCTCAATATTTTTCACATTTTCTGGCTCATGAAAACTAAATTAAGAAGGACTTTAAGATGGGTTCCAAACACCCCCATGACAGATTCTTTTGAATTGTAATTTGTCAGGTTAAATTTTCAAACATATTAAAATTTCTGTGACACTAACTCATTAATGCCWTTTAGTTTGTCCCCAACAGGCAGAGCCTATTGAGATCCAGGCTTTAGGTGTCGAAGGTGTTATGTTTCTATATACAGTACACCAATGGATATAACGATACCAACAGTGATGTAGCTCAACCAGAACTACTTTCAAAATCATGTGAACATTGAGTTGTACATAGCTCAAATGTTTCCATTTCAATAATTTTAGACTGCTGTTCATTTAATTTTTTTGAAGAGATTGCAAACCTCTCACACAATCTATTTCAAAACAATCCATCTTACAAGGCTTTAAGTAATTCAAAGTTAGAACACAAATTCCTGAGCCAGTAGGAGGAAGACAAAAAAAATCTGGATTCTAACACATTTATTGTATAAAGTTTTGCTGCAAAGATAGATGGGTAGATAGATAGTTAGAAAGACAGAAATATTTCGTGAATAAATCCAAATGTTTTGATTAAAATGTATTTTTCTGATGTAATGTATTATTATATCAGATTATATAAACACCATTCAGATTATCAGATTGCTTTGATGTAAATA